TTAAAAGAAATTGGATTGGTGCAAAGCAACTCCAATCAGACGCATGTTTCCGAGATAGACAAAACAAAAAGAACCTCAAATTGGCAAAGTACAACGACCCCCCCTTACGTGCAATTTCGAAAATATTAATTTCAGCACTGCTTATTTCCTAATTCTGTATACAAGTAACACACATTAAAGAAATTGATTGTGCAAAGCAACTCCAATCAGACGCATAGTTTCCGAATAGAGAAAAAGCAAAAACGAACATCAATTGGGCAAGTACAAACGACCCCCCTTACGTGCCAAATTTCGAAAATATTAATTTCAGCACTGCTATCTCAATTCTGTAATACAAGTAAACCACATTAAAAGAGAATTGCATTGGTGCAAAGCCAAACTCCAATCAGACGCATAGTTCCGAGATAAGACGAAAAACAAAAAGGAACCTCAATTGGGCAAAGGTACAAACGACCCCCCCTTACGTGCAAATTTCGAAAAAATATTAATTTCAGCCTGTCTATCTCTAATTCTGTATACAAGAAAACACATTAAAAAGAAATTTGATTGGTCCAAGCAAACTCCAATCAGACGCATAGTTCCGAGATAGACGAAAAACAAAAAGGAACTCATTTGGGCAAAGGTAAAAACGACCCCCTTACGTGCCAAATTTCGAAAAATATAATTTCAGCACTGCTATCTCTCATTTGTATACACGTAAACACATTAAAAAGAAATTGATTGGTGCAAAGCAAACTCCATCAAGACGCATAGTTTCCGAGATAGACGAAAACACAAAAGAACTCATGGGCAAAGTACAAAACGACCCCCCTTACGTGCCAAATTTCGAAAATCTTAATTTCAGAATGTATCTCTAATTCTGTATCAAGTAAAACACTAAAAGAAATTGATTGTGCAAAGCAAACTCCAATCAGACGCATAGTTTTCCGAGATAAGACAAAACAAAAAACGAACCTCAATTGGCAAAGTACAAAACGACCGCCCCCTTAACGTGCCAAATTTCGAAAATATTAATTTCAGCACTGCTATCTCTAATTCTGTCATACAAGTAAAACACATTAAAGAAATTGATTGGTGCAAAGCACTCCAATCAGACGCATAGTTCAGAGATAGACGAAAAACAAAAACGAACCTCAAAATTGGGCAAAGTACAGAGACCGCCCTACTGCACCGTCCCGCTGGTTGTGCCCCGCCGACCGATGAATCAAGAATAGACAACCCCCCTTACGTGCCAAATTTCCGAAAATATTATTTCAGCACTGCTATTCCTAATTCTGTATACAAGTAAAACACATTAAAGTAAATTGATTGGTGCAAAGCAACCTCCAATCGACGCATAGTTTCCGAGATAGACGAAAACAAAAAGGAAAACCTCATGGGCAAAGTACAAAACGACCGCCCCTTACGTGCAAAT